AGGGAATAACCCTTTACCTCCCTCAAATTCTCATGTTTTTGAAGCAGGATCCAGTGAAAAATCTTGGGGTGGACAGGGGAATGGTATTAATTAAAATAGGGTACCCCTTATGGAGACTACTCTGGTGGTGCAGTATGTTTGTTCAAGTATGTTTGTTGCAACACTGTTGGTATACTTACTGTTTCCAAAGATGTTGTTTTATTTCTTTTTGGCAGAAGAGATTGGATTTGCACTCAAGTGCTGATGGAACCATTTAAAGTCATAAGGCCAGTTTTAACAAGAACACCTTCCATGTGACAAGGTGGCTTCAGTTAGGAGGTGGTATATACATATGAAACATTACTCTGACATCTTTAAAGTGACAGAAGAGACCTCTAAATTGCTGACTATTCAGAAATGGAGCACCTCAGATCAGAAGAGTGGCATATAATATAATGTAATTAATATAATATAATATAATATAATATAATATAATATAATATAATATAATATAATATAATATAATATAATATAATATATCCATAATATAAATTACACTACTCCTCTCCCCACACTTGCAAAATGCATAGTTCACTGATGCCTCAGCTAAGTGAGAAGGCAAGGTGAGGAAATACCGGGCAGTCGCCTTACAGACCAATACTGAGCAACATTTTGTCACTGAAGGCAAAGATAGTGCCCCAGTTGGAGAACTGGCAGCTGCATGAAGTATTTTCAAACATGAATGTGTGTCCCTCTGTCCTATCATCTATACTAATTCCTTTGCTGTCTTTAAGGTCTGTAAATAACTTTAGTTCTGGGAACAGAATAAGTGAGAGGTAAATGGGATTCCTGGTTTGGCAGGAAGAGAAGTGGAAAAACATCTTAGCATTTGCAAACAAAGGTGACTTTGCAGTAGTATGGATAGCCACTCGCCAAATAGGGGATGATTCAGTGGTCCAATGGAATGACAGAATAGATGAACTGACCAGACTTGCTCCATTAAACTAGGAGGCAGTAACTGATAACTGGGAGCACCCCATGGAGTGGCTGCAAGTCAAACAAAGCCACACTGGGGCAAAACACTTATACTTAAAGGTTTGTGCCCAAGGTTGGCATGTTATGAGAGAGAATTGTAAGACATGCATTCCAGCCTGCAAGGAATGTCGAGTCCAGCTTGAGAGATGTCCCTTAGAAGAGCGTGCACTACATTTAAGAGAAGGACAAGGACTATGGGAGTCTTGACAAATTGATTATATTGAAGCCTTTAGGAGATTGTGTTAGTAAGGGTAGAAATAATTCCAAGTTAATTATTACCTCGTTCTGATTTTACAGCTATGTTCCTGGCTCCAAAAGGAGAGCCAGTGTGTAATACAGGATGTGAAAAATGAGGTTCACTTCTTTGGTATAATTAAAAAAGTTTAATAAAAAGACAATTAGGAGACAGAAATAAAGCAAAATGAAAAAATATGGCCGGGTGCCTCGGCATTCAGCCAAAAGCACACCTTACTAACAAAGGCTCTTTCCTTAAAAACACGATTATGTTGGATATTCATAGATCCTTATACATGATTCAAACATTCCTCTTAAGTTTAGATGTTCCTTTGCTTAGTTTCAACTCTCTCCCCCTCCAGCAGATAGATCTTCTTTTGTCTCCATTCAGTCTCACACTCCCTGATAACAAAGGTTCAATAATTTCCTCCCCCGAGCTCTGGTCACTGCCATCTTCATCTGGATAAGATAATCAAAGAATGCAGGGGGGTTTTCTGATTATCTTTTCATTCTCTGGGTTATATGAACAAAAGCAGTCTTTATTTTAATACCATGCTATAGACTAAGAAATATATATATATATATACACTACTATTTCTAAGTTTCATTAATAGCAGAAGTAAAAGAAACTATATTAATACAGCAGTTTTCCAACATTATACACATAGCATTCATTTTAATACTTGTAAAAAGCCAATAATATAATATGTACTTGTATGTACTAATATGTACTTACAACAAGGATAACTATCACATCCCCCCGGAGCTTATCTGGCTCTATCACTTCAGCCTGCAACAGGAGTGGGTCACACCCCAGGAGCAGGATGACCCGAGGTGTGACTAGAGCACTTGCTCTACGGCTTTTTGGCTGTCAGTCTGCGCTCTGAGGAGACAAGGATGAGAGTGAGGTCTTTTGCATGGGATAACAAAGGATTTATTGCTCTGGGGAATCTTGGGGGCAAAAGACAGAAAATGTGAGCATGCAACAGCTGAAATAGGGAGGCGGTTCAAAGGGAGGGTACAAAGCATCAGCTAATCAGAGATATCCTGGGGAGGGTAAAATGCAGGGTTCACAAAATCATCATCCAATGAGGGAGGTAAGGGGGGAAAGTTGGGTCACATGGACTAATCAAGCGTCGAAGTTTAGGGGATTTCCAAAATGGAATTCCAAGCATGTGGCGGACCTAAGACAGATTGACAGGAGACTCAGGGTAGATTGACAACATGGGGTGGGAGGGTCTCATTTGGACCAAACCATCAACTTAGGTAATAACAGAACATACCATTAACAAGAAACATACTGCAACATCTCCCTGTTTTCTGTTTAAAAAGGAGAGTTTTGGCATTGAGGAATAGATTCTGATCAGGAGAACACATTTCTCCACCAGGACTGCTGTGTGGATACTTCTACATGATTGACTTCAACATGGTAAACATTAACTAAAAACATCTGACATATCACTGGGGAAAAGAACAGTCAAGGATAATCTGACACAATCAATTAGGGGATCAGGTTTTCCAGTTCCTTGGTGCCGGCACCTCCAGAGGAAAGCTACAGTTACATCTTTGTTGGACTGACCTGATCGTGGTACAGGCTTGGGGATGTGCGGTTTGACCCACTTTTGAGGGACCCATCTGTAAGAGACGGTCCGAAGATTCTCTCATTTGTTTCACAACCGTCTCAAGGACAGAGACTGAGACCCTGAATATCACAAAGAACTTGGTTTGGGGGTTCGGGCCTAGCTGAGGTGGATGTTTGCTAAGTGATTGTTTGCAGGTGGTTGCATAGTACACTGCTCTTGTTCCTGCTGGTGAGCAGAGGCTTGTGCATGGTACTCTGTACAATGGGTTTTCCACGACACATTGCCCTCGTTCCTGCTGGTGAGCAAAGACTTGCAACACATGGATCGCTCTGTACCCTACACCTGCTCCCCGCGCAATGGAATTCATCACAATGATCATATATCTCCTCTGGTTTTGGCCCTGTGCCCCTCGCTTTGTAAAAGACTATAAAATTATACCCCAAACTTACCTTCCTTTGAGATCTCCCCAACAGACAGAAGACTCTGCGTCGTTGGACGGCTGAGTGGACGTCGACATTGGTAGCTATAATCCCCTTACTCTCTTTTCCTTATGCTTTGCTTTCTCCTCTTTTCTCTCTATCGCATATTAGTGCTGATGAGCACTCAATAAAATGTGTTTTGCTGTTTAAGTCCTTGGTTTGCTGATAATCTTTGGTACTCTAAGACCGACTAAAAGAACCACATCACGAATCCCACCTTGCGGATCGTGACACCATCTCAACCCAGAGGGCATGGATATGCAAGCGTATCCCAGACCCCAAGTGATTAACTCAAATGGGCCCTCTACTTTTGCTGTCTCAGGACTCTTAATTAAAACTGGGGGGTGTTCTCTCAATTTCAACTGTGTGTTACTGCTGAAATGCCAAACAACAGGCAGGTTCAGGTGTTCAAATGAGCAGTTTAGAAAATTTGTGGTAAACAGTGCTTTACAGAGTTTGATCTGTGGTGGATCACTGGTGGTATTGCTCTGCTGCTGCTCTAGGACTGTCCTGAGCAACTGATGTGTTTGCTCAATGATTGCTTGACCTGTGGGGGAGTAAGGGATGCCTGTTTTATGGTTTACTCCCCATTTCTGCAGGAACTCCTGGAAGGCCTTGGAGGTATATGTGGGATCATTATCTGTTTTAATCTCTTTAGGGATCCCCAGTACAGAGAAGGCCTGCACTAGGTGTTTTTGTGCATCTGTGGTCTTCTCCCCTGTGTGGGCAGAAGCACAGACTGCTCCAGAGAAAGTATCCACTGAAACGTGAACATACCTCAGCCTGCCGAATTGTGGGACGTGAGTCACGTCCATCTGCCACACCTCACAGCTGTTGAGGCCTCTTGGATTTACACCAGCACTCAAGGCTGGTACTGCATACCTTTGGCAACTGGGACATGTAGCTACGATGGCTTTGGCCTGTTCCCGCTTTAGACTGAATTGGCGTACCAGGCCAGGCACATTTTGATGGAATTGTTGATGGCTCAGCTTTGCCTGCTGAAAGATGTCTGGCAGGTTGACCATCTCAGCCGGGGCAGCCAGGGCGTCTGCTCTTCTGTTCCCCTCTGCAATGAAACCTGGCAGGTCAGTGTGTGACCTGACATGCATCACATAGAAAGGTTGCTCTCGGTGGGAAACAAGATAAACTAATTTTGAGAGTAACTTAAACAGGCTAGGATTAGAGACCTCCTTTAAAACAGCATTTTTGGCTCTAGACACTACTCCTGCAACATAGGCCAAATCAGTGACCAGATAAAAAGGTTCAGAAAGCCTCTCAAAGGCTCTGACAACTGCGTCTAACTCAATAATTTGAGGGGAGCCCTCAACCTCTTTTACATCTGTCTCCCATTTCTGAGTCTGAGGATCCTTCCAAGTCATCACTGACTTGTGGGATGCTCCAGATGCATCTGTGAAAACTGTCACAGCATTGAGTGACCTCTGACTTTGTTTTTCCTTGGGGACTAATTTAAATGCCGAATTAAATAATTTATGTCCAGGATTATGAATTGAAATTTGTCCTGGGTAGCTATCTAGAGCAAATTGGAGTGTCTCATTTTCCCTAAGTAACTGCTCCAGAACCACTTTGTTAACTTACCTGACATTAGGGTAAGTGGTAGATGGATGCATGAGAAGTCACACCCCGCCAGTTCTTGCATTCTTGCCCTGACCTTCCGGATCAACTGAGCTATTCAGTCTTGTGGCCTGGTGATACTTTTGGACCGCTGGTGACTGAGGAATACCCACTCTATGATCAAGAGTGGATCCTTCTGACCTTGATCCCACTGGAAAATCAAGCCATGGAGGTGTGGCAATCTTCCCAAAACAATAAACTTAAATGGCAAGTCTGGCAGGCAGCGATGAGCTTGTTTTATTGCCATCATCTCTTGAGCTTTCTCCAGAGCTAGCATGGCCTCTTGGGTTAGGACCCTAGGAGAACTCAGTTCCTCTCCCCTTTTCAATAAATCGAAAAGGGGGGCTAGGTCTTCTGTTGTTAAGCCCAGCCAGGGTCTGACCCAATTTAAGGACCCACACAGCTGGTGGAGATCAGCTAAGGTTTTTGGGTTGTTTCTGATCATCACTTTTTGAGGAGTAATGGTCCTCTTGCTAATTTGGAGCCCCAGATATCTCCAAGGGGGCACCCGTTGAACTTTGTCCTTTTGGAGTTCAAATCCTGCAGTAATCAAAACATTGACAACTAGGTCAAGAGCGTGCTGTAGTATATCATCATTGGGGGCACACACCAGCACATCATCCATATAGTGCAGGATGATGGTTTCTCTTGCTTTGGCACGCACTGGGGACCGCAGTGAAGCAACGTACCACTGGCAGATACTGGGACTGTTTTTCATGCCTTGCGGCAAGGTTTGCCAATGGTAGAGCTTCATTGGAGCTTCTTGATTGATGGAGGGAATTGAGAAGGCAAACCATGGGGCATCAGCAGGGTCAAGGGGAATCTGGAAGAAACAGCCTTTTATATCAATAATGGCCAAATTCCAATTTTGGGGGAGCATCGACGGGGAGGGCATTCCTGGTTGAAGAGACCCCATGTCTTCAATGACTTTGTTAATTTCTCTAAGGTCCTGGATGAGTCGCCACTTGTCTTTTCCTAGCTTCCTGATAACAAAGACCGGGGAATTCCAAGGGCTGGTGGTTGGCACAATGTTGCCTTTTGCTAACTGCTCTTCTACCAATTCATTGAGCACCTTCAATTTTTGTTTATTCAGCGGCCACTGATCTACCCATACTGGGTGTTCTGTTTTCCAGCTCAGCTTCTGGGCAGGCCGCTCATCAGCAGCCGCTATGAAAAATCCCATAGGGTTTTTGGGATTTCAATTTTCACTCCCCATTGGGACACGGCATCTCTCCCGCACAGAGCAACTTTATAGTCTAAGCTGGCCAATTGCCAATCTGGCCCTTCAATTTGGAAGATGCTCTTAGATTGTTTGGCAAATTGGGCACCTCCAATACCCTGTACTTTACCTACCACGGGTTTCAATTCCCAATGTGACGGCCATCTGGTGGTTGGCATGATTGTCACATCTGCCCCTGTGTCCAACACTCCATCAAGGTGAAGGTAATATTCACCTCGCTGGAGTCCACACCCCATCCAAGGCTTGTCTGATCCAATGACTTCTGCCCAGTAGACACCTGGTGAAGAATCGTCCACTGGCATCTCATGTGGCGTCGGAATCGCCTGGGCGATGATTTGGCCCTGTGGCATAAAGAAGGGTGGGTGGACACAATGCACCATGAGAATGAGCGCCTCTGGCTCTGATGTTATGATGGCCAGAGAGATTTCAGTCTCCTGGGGTGTGTGCTTGGTGTCCCCAATAATGACATACTTACAGTCCAGTCAAGCAAATAAGCTTTTGTCAAGTAGGTCAACTGATACAACCTGCCAGTTGTCTGTACTAAAGAATCTGTTTTGTGTCACAACTAGCTTAAAGGGAGTTTGTGGCTTCCAAACCTTCTCTCGGTCTCTATTCTGACCTGCTTCATTTTTGTCTACACACAACGCAGGCCTGCACTCCCCATCTAGTTTTTTGGAAGTGGTTGTCCCCCTCCCCCCTGAGAACTTATTGGTTTATTTTGCAGAAGCTGCCTCTTTGGGCAAACTTTTGCTATGTGTCCCTCCTGCCCACAGTTAAAACACAGAAAAGACTGTTGGTGTATTTTTTGAGTAGCAGCAGCAGCTGTTTTCTCCATTCTGTCTTCTTTTCCTCGAGGCTCTGGGATGATTGTTCTCTTTGTGCAGGCTTCGATGATCAAGTCGAGGGTCGGTGGTGGCTCAAAGGGCAGGCCTAGGATGATCTTCTTGCAGACATCATTAGCATTTGCTTGGGCTACTTCCATTATTATCTGTTCCTGTAGTTGCCGACTCTCAACCTGCCTCTCCACTTCCACTCGGAGCCTTTCAACAAAATCTATAAAAGCCTCAGAGGGAAACTGTTTAATATTCACATAACTTTGCTTAGGTTCTTTTGTGGGCGTAAGGATAAAGGCCTTCTCTGCAGCTCTCTTTACCTGTTCCAGCACAGGCTGTGGTATTTTTTCAGCCTGCATTCTAGCTTGTGACCAATCCCCTTGACCACACAAGTGGTCCATTGAGATACTGTTGTTATCTGCATCAATGGCACAGTCAGGGCTTTGCAAGAGCTCAGGAAGGAGTTCCTGTAATAATCTCTTCCATGTCCTCTCCCACAACAGATATTCTGTTTGGGTTAGGAGACATGCAAACATGCAAAAATCCCTCATATCATGAGGAACTAGTGTATTTGAAGAAAAGGTGGCTTTTAAAAGACTTTTAAAATATTCACTTTTTCTCCCAAACTCCTTCTGAGCCTTGCAAAGCTCCTTTTTATGCTGATAATCGAAAGGTTGCCACCTAGGGGTTCCTCTTGCTCCGGTATAGGTAACAGGTGCAGTGAAGGGGATGATCTCCTGTTCCAGGTTCTGTTTTTTTGTCTCATGGCTTCCAGTTCCCATGCCATTGTGGGAAGTTGAAGCTGGAAGATGATGAGAGGTGCCAGAGAAGGAGGAGGGAACAGGGGTGGGACAGCAATTGGAATCGAGTTGCTGTTCACAGGTGACATCATGGGAACAGATGATGTCATGGGAATTGGAGGCTGAGACGGTGGAAAGGAAGGCGGGGTCACCCAGGGAAGGGGTGGAGTTCAGGGAGAGGGGAGGAGAAGGAGGGACATGGGTAGGGGTGGGGTCAGGGGAGGGGTTGGAAGGAACAGGGTGAAAGGGATTGTGGGAAGAAGAAGCACAAGGTGGGGCCCGAGCCATGTGGCTTCCACCATCTTGTGTCCCTTAGGGATCATTCTGAGGGGCAGGGGAAAACTCAGAGAAAACTCAGGGAAAACTTGGGAATCTCCTTTAGGGGCATTCACTTGAACTGGAGGATTAACAGCTGGGAAAGAGGATGATATAAATAAGCCCTACCTGCAGTCCATGTTTCGCAAGTGTTCTTTGCAGCCTCTGTTCCAGGTTCCGAAACGTTCCTGTTCTGAGTTCCATGCCAAACCGTTCCTTGTTGCTCCTGTTGGAAACTTCCAGATGCAGCAGCCGGGGTTAGAGACTTCCTGGCATGGCGGCCGGAG